AGTGTTCGTCTGCCTTCTCTCTATTTAGTCAGCATTTATCACTTTAATCCTATCAAATTCTAATGCTAATTGTTATCAAGTCATATTTCTACCATTTTTTATTATTTCCTCTGAAAAATAAAATCAAAATAATGGATTTACAGAAGATAACCAGTTACAATAAATTTGTTTGTTAGATTGTACTTAATGGCATGCTTTTATCTTTTTGTCACCCTACTCTCCTAACACAGTGTGCCATGAGTTTGAATTCAGGGTCCCCAGTGATACCCACAAGATATTTCCCTTGGGCAGTTAGGAACTGGTCCTCACATAGGATCTAGCCAATCCAGCCAGTTTCACAGTATTGATCTCTTAAGGTAAGTTAAAGAAAATTTTTTTCCATCTTCTACAAAACCATAAACTAAAAATACTTGGGGTTTTTTTTTGCCCCAAGCTGGTTTATATAGTGGTCACAAACAAAATATTATTTCAGGATTCTACCCACATTTATTTTTATTTATAATTTTTGTTTTTTTACAGAGTCTTAGTCTTAGACTATAAGGACCACACGGGATTGACACAGTTGGTCAGTTTTTTAAAATAACACATGTAATATGAGGCTATTGGCCTGAAAATATAAAGACTCATCACATGGTAGACCAACATATTCCACATTGCAGTAAGACCCGGCTAATTACGTTTATAAAGTGATAAGACAGTCTAAGATTAGCAGACCACAAGTATACTTTTGTCACTATTGCCATGTCTAAGTTTCTCCTATATTAGTAAACTTTCCATGTCTACACAGGCCAAGTGCACATCTTCAATAAAAGGTAGAAAATGCGTATTTTAGGACAGGAGCGCATCTTCTTTTATGGTTACAAACATTGACATTCTTCTGTTCACATTTTGCTAACTAAAAAGCAAAAAGACCTCCATCAAAGTGATGCACCTTCCTTTCCCGGGGCCACCTCCACCCAGGACAGAGATGTGAACGTAGTATATTTGCCCAAAGCAAAGCTTTGTTCATTAAAATCATCCCCATCTCCAAAATATACTTTCCCCACAAAGGAGGACTTTGCCTGGTTAAATCCTAAACAACAAACCTAGGGACACAGGTGAACTAACAGCCTCTCTGAGATTTTTATTTTCTGAAAATATTTAAGTAAGTAATCTGGGTAAAGAAAAAACAGTGATCAGTCAGAAAGCACAAAACTCTCTTAAAACTAAATTAGTTTGGTTAGTTTCTCTTGGGAAGTTTAATAACACAGTTCAAGATATTCATCTTGTATTTTTAACACTTCAGAGTAGATTAAACAATAGTTTATATTTTTGGAAGCTGGTAAAAATGATGCATAATAAATTATCATGCTTATGTCTACCACTATTATTATGTTTTATTTAAAATTATAGTTACAATAATAATAGTGGGTAATAACTGGGAAAAAGAGAGTTGAATTGATGAGGACATAAAACCTAAGAAATACAACAACAGAACAAATTGAAATTGAGTTTTTGAGAATTAAAAAGTATATAAATAGAAAAATGTAGACACTCGGTAGACATACTTTAGGTAAGGTCAAAAATGCTATCCTAAGAACTGAAAAATAAATGGGTAAATGTTTCAGAGAAAAAGGATTTTAAACACCCAAGAACATCTTCTGACGTTAGCAGCTGTTTTTAAAACTTAGACGAGAAAGCGCCTAAGTAGAAAGGGCAAAAATAAATTAAACCTGAATTCTTATACCACTTTAAAAAAATCAATAAATAAGAGGCAGATATTTGGTTTCTAAAACTAGGGTAAAAACATAAAATTCTGAACCACCGGCCATTGACATTTCCTTCACAGAGTAAAAAATAAATGTTCAACAGCACCCTTTCATTTGCCTCCAGTGTCACAGAGTCACTTTTTATCTTTGTCACTGTTCTGAGCTGATTTGTGTCCTCTGAGAAGATATGTCGCAGTCCTAATCCCTGGTATCTCAGAACATAACCGTATGTGAAAGTAAGGTCCTCGCAGATGTAATTGGTTAAGCTGTAGTCACACTGGAGTAAGATGGGTCCCTAACCAGTATGACTAGTAAGTATCCTTAAAAGAAATGGAGAGATCTGAGGGGAATGCTACGTGTGGAAGGGGGCAGAGAGGCGAGTGATGCAGCTGCAAGCCAAGGAGTGCCATTGACTGATGGCCTCTACCAGAAACCCAGAGGATGCAAAGAAAGATTCTACCCAGAGTCTCGGAGGGATGATGGCCCTGCTGGCACACGGATCTCCAACTTCCACGAGAATGGATTTCTTTTCTTTTAAAGCAACCCAGTTTGTGGCACTAAGTTACCGCAGCTCTAGCGAACTCATACAGCCCCTGCATCTCATTACAAACCCCATGAAAAGTCTAAAAGAAACATTTCAGGTGAGCAACGTGGGAGCCAGGAAAATCTTACCTGCAACGTAGTCACCAAATCCAATGGTGGTTAAAGTGATAACCACAAAATAAATGGCATCCAGGGCACTCCAGCCTTCTATGTGCTTGAATATGATAGCAGGCAAAGCCACAAAGAGGACGCAGCCAAAGAGGATAAATATAATGGTGGAGATGATGCGAATCTTGGTCTGACTGACATTCCACTTCTGCACACACACGTGGATGTCCATGGATGTGGGGGGGAGGAGGAGAGAGGGAGAAAGATCAGCGGCGTGCTCACGAAGTTAACCTATATGCTGTTACCAGCAAATAAACCACTAAGCATGCTGTTTTATTCCCTTTGATTCTTAGCTTTCCATTGTCATTACTTATGAAAACTGGGAATAACAGAAATAACTCAAAATCATCAATGCTATGAATGATGCTGCTTTACTCTCACACAGATTTACAACAAGTAAAATGTGTTTAAAAACAAATGACATCATTCTGAGAACACAGCTTCAGATCTGCATCTTACTTGTTTACCCAAACTACTTAGGAAATACTTCTATTTTATAGGCATACAACTGATTGTGGGCCACACCAAATTCAGAAATATAGGAAAATAGAAAAAGCTGAAACGAGAATCAAATGTTTGCAATTTGTAATTGATGAGCGTTAATTTCATGGAAACTTCTTCCTATCATACTTTTTTTTTTACTGCTAATTCAATTAATCAGAGTATAATACCAACAGACCTAAAGTCCACAATTTTATTCCCACATGAACCCAAGTAAATTGTTTTCTTTGTTCTATGGCATTAAACAGCACAATTAACAAATTTATGTGATCTGCAGGTAAAGATAATTCTTGAACATCTGTAAGCCATAACTTACATCAGAGGACCCAAACTTTGTTGCACTTCCTTCTCTATCGGGTCAAAATCTGCATAGCATAATTATTAAATGAAGTTGCTATATATGTGTGTGAATATACAGATGTGTGTATGTATGTGTATGAATATGTGTGTGTGTGTGTGTATAACATATGAATTTATCTTCACACTCTCTGTCTGATATCGGTTACTGTATATTTTTAATCTCTGGCTGGATGTGTCTTATCTACTGTAGAAATTATAGATCACATCCTGCATCCCATGAACATGACTAAATGCTAGAGCTTGAGAATTCTTACAGGCAAAGATCCATGAAGTCACAGAATGGAAAGAGAACACAGGAGCTCCTTTAGCTCACATTCTGGTCTCATACGTGGGAGTTAAATGAGTTCATGTATGTCAGGTTTTTATACTGGTGCCTGGTACCAAATACTGAATCATGATCATTGAAAGGTCATCACTCTGAGGGCATGCATTTCTATTTTTATGTAGTGAATCTTCTACGTAAGAAACATGACCTAGCATCTAGCAGACACTTGAAAATGTGTTGAATGAATGAACGAGCGATTCAGCATCACCAAGTTTATGCCACTAATCTGCCCTCTCAATTAATGTACAAGATACTTTCAATATCCATATAGGAAAATTATGTCTTATTCCACTATAATAGGAAAAACAAAAGCTAATTTAATTTGAAATATGAAACATGACTAATTCTAAAGTGGGAACTATAATCTAAATTGAGAAAATAACTTGGATTTAATCGATAGAGTTAAACACAAATCTTTTGAACTTTTTGTGAAAAAAGAATACACTATTGAATATTAAATAAAATTTATTTCCGATAATGGTGTGAGTAGTGATGAATCATTTTAATCCCACCCTCTAACACAACCATTTTCTTCTGCAATAATTTTAAGAATCCAGATTTAGAATAATAGGCTAATTATTTTTCATTTAAAATGTTAATAATGAATCTTCATTCTTTTTTATTGACTATAATACAGCCATGAACATCTTCACCTATACTATCTTTGGTTCTACTGAATTATATCCTTAGATACATTTTTATCAACAGCATTACTAAATTAAGTAATATAGTCACATTTATTGTATTTGCTATTTAGATAAAATCCTTCCCAGAGGACTATATAAAGCAATTTATTTTACTTTATTTTATTTGAGACAGAGTCTCACTTTGTCACCCTTGGTAGAGTGCTGTGGCATCACAGCTCACAGCAACCTCCAACTCTTGGGCTCAAGTGATTCTCTTATCTCAGCCTCCTAAGTAGCTGGGAATACAGGTGTCCACCGCAACGCCCGGCTATTTGTCTTGCTCTTGCTCTGGCTGGTCTCAAACCAGTGAGCTCAGGCAGTTCACCTGCCTTAGCCTCCCAGAGTGCTAGGATTATAAGCATAAGCCACCACACTAGCTGATAAAGCAATTTTTTAAACAATAATGTATTTTCAGTGATTTACTACCTATGTTAATGTTTACCTTACATTGCTGCTAACCCTTAAAGCTATGGTCCCCATGCCCTGGTCACAGACTAGTACAGTTTGTGGCCACACAGCAGGAGGGAGCAGTGGGAGAGCAAGCAAAGCTTTATCTGTGTTTACAGCTGCTCCCCAGTGTAGGCTCCACCACCTGAGCTCTGCCTCCGGTTAGATAAGCAGCGGCATTAGATTCTCACAGGAGCCTGAAGCCTGTTGTAAACGAAGTATCTAGGAGATCTAGACTGTGCACTCCTTCTGGGAATCTAATGGTCATCTGATGATGACCTGGCCATCTGATGTGGAACCGGAAGGCACTTGAATCACCCTGAACCATCCTTCCCACTGTCTGTGGAAAACTTCTCTTCCATGAAACTGGTCCAGTCCCTGGTGCCAAAAAGTTGGGGACCCCTACTTAGACTAATGCCACCATAGTACCAAAATTCACATTATATAAATAAGAAAATGAAAATTTGGGGGAAAACAACTTATTTAAGAGGATATAGCTAGGAGATAGCACCTCTGGAATCTGAACCTACAACTGTTCAATTTCTACTTTTTCTTTTTTTTTTTTTGAGATGGAGCCACAAGCTATCCCCCTGGGCAGCGGGCCATGGCATCATGCTCACAGCAACCTCCAACTCCTGGACTCAAGCGAGTCTCCTGCCTCAGCCTCCCAAGTAGCTGGGACTATAGGCGCCCGCCACAGCGCCTGGCCATTTTTTGGTTGCAGCCATCATTGTTGTTTGGCGGGCCCGGGCTGGGGATTAGAACCTGCCACCTTAGGTGTATGTGGCTGGTGCCTTAGCCGCTTGAGCCACAGGCGCCAAGCCAATTTCTACCTTTTCATGTATCTTCTTGGGGTTTTCTCATACACTAACTTATTAATTAATATTAAGTATAAAATAATTAAAATATAGTAAATTACATGTTAATAAAGATGCAAATAAACTATAATGGAAACCCTAATAATTGAATGGCTAACTGTATCTGAGGTAGTAGATAAGGTACTACATATAATATTCTTTAAAAAATAAAATAACGAATATATATGGTTAAAAGTCTGTCATACTCACAATAAATGTGTCTTCCACTTTGGCAATTCCTTTTCCAAATATGGTCCCTAGTTGATCTCCCACTCCAGCCAATAGAAAACCAAAGAGGGGAATTCCCAGTAAGGCATAGATGATGCAGAATATTTTCCCGCCTTCTGTGCGTGGTGAGATGTTTCCAAATCCTAAAAAAAAAAAAAAAAGAAAAGAAATCCTGTTGTTGATAAAAGTATAATAATTTTTAAAATATGGCCTCAAAATTGATTCAGAAATTTCCAAATATTATAAGATATCAATCTTTTTATATGGTGAAATAATTAATTTCAACTAGTTAAGAATCTCTTTATACTATATAACCTTTTAATATAATATAAAATATTCTTATAAGCAAATATTTCAATACTATACAAAGTATAGCTCATGTTCCAATTAAACTTTGGTATGATGATGAAAACTGAGCAGTAACCCATTCAATAAAGCCAACATATTCATCAAGTTTCCTTCTCTCTGTTACTGGATAATGCTATTGATTATAAAGCTTTCATTGCCATTCAAAACATGTTAAGAAGAATATAATGACTTAATTATGAGTAGTATTCAAACATGCTCAAATTATTTAAAGATTAAAGCTTAGTGGCAACTTCCAAATCTTTTTACTCAAGTATATACCTAAAATAAAAACTTAAAATTATTAAACATTTTTAAAGTTATGAAGATTCTGAAGGCTTTCCAGTTTGTGGGAGGAGTTATCAATTTCTTCTGATGCAAGCAGGTCAACTTCATTTACTTTACGGGGTACCCCCGAAGTCCCCACACAGAGGAAAAGAGATCTCTTGAAACATGTTCACCACGAGTGGGGGAGAAGACTGTGTGTGCACAGAAAACGGTGTCTAAGACATAGAAAATAATTTTGCAAAATTTTATAATGAATATTTTGTAAATAAAGGTACATGTAGCTACTATTTTCATTTTGCCATGTATGGTGACCTTGAGCACACCCTGTATAACACCAGAATAATTGTCTACAAACATGTTCAGGTTAAAGAAAACATGCTTTCTTGATGTATGTAGAGGGACTAATTTAATAGATAAATCTTTTACCATCCTTCACATTAAATTAATTTAGAATATTAGTTTTAATTTTTCCTACTTAAAAATGTAGATAAATATTTTGGATTTGGCTTTTTCTTATTATTTTCTAGTTTAATGAGTATTCTAGTCAAAGACTATGGGCTGTCTTTTTTTTTTCTTTTTTGGAATCTTCTGAGATTTTCTTTGTGGTTTTATTATGGTTAACTGTTATATTTGTTTCACTGTTATTTGATAGAATACAAAAGTTCTACTTGTTGAATACAAAAAGAGAAAAATATATGTGTACACACACACACATATATATGTACAATACATACGGTGTCTGGGGGGGGCTACTATTTGGCCATTTTAACTCATACATTATTTTCTCTATAATATTTCCATTGTTCTCTTTTTCCTGCCCAGACAACTAGTGAGTTTGTGTTCAGCGCTAGTCAATTCATCTACTGAAGGTTTTTGTTTTTTAAAATGTACAATATTTTCAAGAACTTTGATGTTTTTTCATGAGCCCATTGCTATGAGTAAAACGGTAATTATATGCACTTACATTTTCCAGTGTTGTATCAGGTCTTAATTCCTTGAAAGAAGCCCTACAACTTCCTTTATCTAGGTCAGTTTCTGCAAGTGGTTGAGAATTCCTGGTCCTATTTTCATACTTAGAAGCACAATACAATACTAGATTGGTTAGTATTTGTGACTGAAATTTATTTGCTAGCCTCAGTGAGAATTATTTCAAAATAAAAGATAAAAAAAAAAAAACAGGGAAAAGAAAAAGAAAATAAGTTCCAGAACAATATGAGCAAAGGTTCCATCTGGGGATCCTTTGAAAAAGGTCCAGCAGGTTTGTATCAAGGTTATTTGAAGAATAAGCCCATCCAAGATTAAAAGTCAAGAAATGTTTCCACAGACCTATGTGGGACAGTGTGCCACTACTGTATACCATCCAGGAATGGAACTCAGCAACCTCAAACCCACCTCTATTTTCATGTCAGTAAGTTGAGCACCCAGCAGTTGAAGGATGTGCCGAGTCAGCAGGTGCATGGACTGTTTTGACCTGGGTTCTCTGATGGGCTCAGCGACTCTTGCTAAGATCCGACCCTGTCCTTTACTGCCTTCTCTAGGTTAGCGACTATGTGGCCAGTGTGAAGACAGTCACCTGAGTTATCCTATTCTCTCTCTCTCTGACTGACAAATGTCTTTAGAGTCATATTCATACGAGGTCATCTACCTCCAAAAAGAATCAGAGGGAAAAAAATAAAAGATACAAATTTAACATTTTTAAAATTCTGACTGTGGCATCACTATAAATTACTGTTGAATAATAAAAGCCTGTCTGTCAAGAGGACTTAATTTGATCTACTCCACATAAGTTAAAAGGGCATAAAAAGTGAGAGCTCTGAGTTTTCATCAATCAGTGACTCAGATCTAGCCTGGAGGCCACTATGGAACTTCTTCAGAAAAGCTGCCCGAGGATTTCCCCAGGAAGTCTTTTACATCAGCAATGAAATGGCCCAACATTCAAAGAGAATTCCAGATGTTAGAAAAGCCGGTCTACCTTTTACTGACTACAAAACAGAGACGAGTCCCTTGTGGCATATCTGCACCTCATTTTAATCATCTCCATGACACAGTTAACAGAAGAAAGCCTAAGGGAGCAGGGACCAGGATCCCAGAAACCTTCTCTGAATGTTCTCTGCTTTACCATCCATACATTTTTCTCACCACCTTTATGCTGAGCTCTAGGGGTGAGTCTGGGCCTCAGGAACTCTGGGCATGGTATCAGAGAACTGTAAGCCCCCCACCCACCATTTTTTAAAGACCACTACTACTCCTTAGTGTGACTACTCCCTGGTGCACACGAAAAAGTGACCTACACTTTGGGAGACCAAAGCAGGAAAATCACTTGAACCCAGGAATTTGAAACCAGCCTGAGCCTTATAGCAAGATGCCACCTCTCCAAAAAGCACAGAAGTTAGCCAGGCATCGTGGCACATACTGTAGTCTCAGCTGCTGGGGAGGCCGAGGTGGGAGGATCGCTTGAGCCCAGGAGTGTGAGGTTATTGTGAGCTAGGCTAACGCGACTGTACTCCAACAGGGGCGACAGAGCGATTGAGACCTGGTCTATAAAAAAGGGGGGGGTGGGAGCAGGAAACCTCATAGTTCTCTGACATAAAGAGCATTCCTAGAGTTCCCCAAACACTCTCCTGGGTGACAGAATCCAGTGGCTGTGTAAGGGAGGCTCCCTAATGCTTTCTTTCCTCTCTTCCTTGTATATTGTGTAACATAAAAGCAGACTTCCCGCCATAGACTTACAAGTTCTAACCAATGAAAGACACTGAATACAGACATTGGTTAAATCACTTAGTATTATCAACTTTTTGACTGTCAACAAGGCATCTCTGGGTTCAGACAAGAGTTTGGTGCTAACCACACCAGTAGGGGTTATTCATTTTCAAACAGAAACTTGACAACATATGTTAACCGTCATGTTACCTGACTTGAGTCTTCTAAGTATCACACCCTTTGTTCTCAATAGTTTTCACAGTTGTGCAAACTTTATACAATTAGTGGAAACTGAAAACAACTTGGCGAATTATTTTGAGTAGCAAGAAACAAAAGAATGCCCAGTAGCACTCTGAGATGCTGCCTACATTGATCAGCACATTTCGCTTCTTCTTCTTCTTTTTTTTTTTTTTGGCCATTTTTGGCCAGGGCTGGATTTGAACCCCCCACCTCTGGCATATAGGGTTGGCGCCCTACACCTTGAGCCACAGGTGCCACCAACACTTGGCACCAACACAGGTGCCAACACATTTGCTTCTGAGCACTCTGTAGTCAGTGGTGTAATAGACTTATGAGCTTCAGATGAAAGATACTCATTGAATAAAAACAGAAGAGTAGACTAAGTTTCTAAAATACTGGTTTTTATGATTGTTTGGACAACTGATCTTTTCCTTGACCAATCAGTAGCATCTTCATTGCCTTAAGGTGAAATAGTACTGTTACAGGAAAGAAGAAAGAGTATTAAATTTGTACTGATGAAATGAGGTGTTTATATTCAAAAATCTTTCCCTTGAGAAAAGCCAAGCTCTCAGTTTATCCCTTAGCAATAATTTTCTATTTATGCCACTCCTATCTCAATAGTCCCATGTACATAGGCATTTTGGGATCAGAATGTGATAATACTACAAATAAATAAAATCCCCTTCAAGAACTGTGCACACTTGTGATTATATAGTTACTGTACAACCTTGATAGTTGACCACTTCCCTACCTTGACAGTCCCAAGCTGACATACTCTTCACAGACCAGACATGCACCACATGTACGTACCAGAACTGCAGGCCTATTTCCGTATGTTGACCACCTCTCTATGTTGGCCAGTTTGTTACAGTGCCTTGGGTGGTCGACTTACAGAGCTTCTATGGTATTTGCAACAAAATACTGAATGTTTATCTTTCCCAATTAAAAGAAATTTTATAAACATGGAGACTGATTTATTACTTAATTTTATAGATATATACTTTGTAATTATAATCCAAGAAATCTGCATGAATACTGGCTTATTAATTAGTGCATAACTTAAAATCAATAAATGTTTTTGGCTGATTAACACATAAATGCAAACACTTGCAAATACGTTAGGAATGAGACAAAGAGAAAGAAAAGCATGTAGGAACTCATGAAATAATTAAATCTCTCACCGAATAATTAAAAAATTTACTATCTTTAAAATCAAAATGCATAGTTTTAAAAAATGTTTATAAATTAATGAAATCATTCTAAAATTCATCTGGAATAAAATGAATAATAATAGTCAATAAATATTTAAAAGGAAGACTAATGGAAGATAAAGGTTACTTCCAAATTAAAAGGATGTTATCTGTAGTTTTAGTAATTAAAACCATGTAGCAAATGAATGAATGAAAACAACAGAAAGTACAGAAAAGGACTCTAAAATGGAGATGAATTTAGTATTTGATAAATACGATATTTTAAGTTAATTTTAAAAGAGTTGATTATTCATTAAATAGTGATAAGGTAAGTAATAAGATACTTGGAAACTAATCATGTCCTTATTCTCACATTATACACTAAATATTACATAGTATCCCATGCATTAAAACATCAAATACTTTAAAATATGACCATAAAATACTATGAAGAAAAGATAAGAAAATAACTTTTTAAGCATAACCACTAGGGATGAACCATAAAGAAAGTGAAAGATAAATATGACCACACAAAAATATAACGATGCTGTGTATCAAGAGAAAAGTATAAACATCAGGCAAAGCCAAACGTTTTTGCCAAGAGGCAGTGAAGAAACACCCAGACTCCTCTTGGATAAATAGTTAAGCTTTTGTTTCATTTCTGGGGCTGAATAAGAAACACCCAGACTCCTCTTGGATAAATAGTTAAGCTTTCGTTTTATTTCTGGGGCTGAAGGTGGCTCAAATCCATCATATTTGCTCTTGTGATTTGAGATAGTATCCTAGTTAAGACTCTCACCACAGTTATTTAAACCAGGGATCATTATTTAAGAATACGCCTTGTTACTGAAAAATATCAAATACTGACAAAACCATCAACCTCAAATACGTTACATTATTGGTTGTGTATGTTTGGGATATTTAATGAAAGCTTATCAAACAGCTGATTTGAACAAGCAAGTTCACATCCATTGAAAGACATCAGGCCAAAATTTAATGAGCAACACTTTTGAACAATAATAGCCTTTTTACCCTCTATGTGAGACTTACTGAAATTTAGTAATATAGTCATACTTGCTGGCTACAGTAATTCAGTAACAGAATAAAAGTGTTTATATTTACTGGCTACAGTTCATATACTGTGGGTACAAGATCTACTTTTGACTGATAGGAAGTTCATGCAAATCTTTAATCTCTTAGCCAGTTTCCGATGTGGGGGTAGACAGTATATGATTACATTTATTGACTACAGTAAGGATACAATCAAAAATAAATTGAAATTGCATTGCTAGAGGCCCTTCTAGAATTAAACACAGTTTTAAAAAACATCTAAGTGAGTCTGACTAAAAATTCAGGAGATAGGACTTACTACTCCACCCTCGAGGAGAAAAACTTCAGGTAGGAAAAAAAACTACATAGTATTGCTTTACTTTGGATCACTTCTGCATCATAAAGTGCTAAGTGATACATAGGAAAGAAGAAATCTAGTATCACCACAGCAATCATATGCGATAAAAAATGTTCGATGAATACCACTTGCCAATCGCCAGGCTAGCCAGATACTGAGAACGGAAAGATGGAGTGAACCCTGATCGCCAGATTTCCCAATCAACTAAATATGCCATCTGCTGACTTGCCTTTAAAAGCTTAATGCAGGTGCATGAATGGACAAAGACTGGCTACATGGAACCCAAGGAGGACAGCCATGCGTATGAGAAGCATTGCCATTAAAACACTGCACTGACACAGCTGAGATGGCGTAATTTGGGGACCATGTTTACTTGATCTCTGAAACTCAAGAGCAAGACAAATAGGAAGTAGAGAGGAAAATGTGTTTGCGTTCTCCACTATCAGTCCTGGTGCTTGAGTCCTGCATTTTTTGGAAATGCCACATGTCTCATCTCCTCTACTTCTATCATTATGAGGTATCATATGATACATCCTATTCAAGGATGTATCTACGCAGAGGCCAAAACTGCTCTCAGTACGCAGCCTGTAAGCCCTGACAGTAGAATAGACACAAGAAGAACCTTGAAATAACTCCATACTAAGGCAAAAATTGTTAATGTCCTGTAGCAGGAAATCTGGCAAGGCCCCCAAAATCAATGAGGAGTGAAGAGGGAAGGAACAGGGAAAGAGAGAAGAGAACACAGGCTTTCCTAGTCAGCAGAAGCCCAGAAAGAAGAAAATCCACGATCAAATCTAATGCTAAGAAAGATAATTAAATACAATCAACACTTAGAGGAGGAATTAACTGCAAACAAAAATGATTTCATGAGACAGTCTGAACTAAATGAACAAAAGAAATAGACAGCGGGAGATGTTCAACAAGTAAATTATACATGGATTGGCCGAAATGCCTGAGCTCTTCTCTCCTATACTGCCATATTCCTGTGCCCCCAGAAAGACCTGATTCACAAAGGTGACACAAAATCTCAACGGTAATAAAAAGCTCTAAGAATACACAGGATAATATATATCTACTCTGTGGATAAAAAGGATAAAAATGTTATAAAATGAATGACATAATAGCAGACGTGAAGAAACGAAGAGATACAGAGGTATCAATTTTCATCAAGTTTATGTATAAATAGAAACCAATTGAAATGCCTATTCAGAAAAGGTTTTAGTAGAACTGATTCATTTATATGAAAGTCACCTAAAAGGGGGACGGGGAAGAAGGAGGTGAAAGGATTTGCCTTCTGTGATAGGAAGATCTACATTAGCAATTAAATGTCAGTGCAATGAAGACAACAGGGTATTAGACAGGGAAAGCCAGACAGAAAGCTCAGAAACACACCCAAACATAGAGGGTGAGATGCTGCCAGGAGTGAGGAGAAGAGCAGAGAATGAATAGGGGTAAACAGTGGCCATCCAGGAGACTGAGAAGGGCCTTCACATTTTTTGTATTTGTGCTTTATTTAACAACAATAACAAGTAAACAGCACAAAACAATGTTAATATTTGATAAAATTGGGAGTGTGCAATATTTTCCTCTCTAGACACACACATATTTGAAATACTATATGAGTAAAAAGAAGAAAAGAATATCTATAAATATATTACATTTATAGCTCCAGAAGTCATGGTCTAATATTCTCTACCAATTCTTGTAGTTCTTAAAAAGCTAGACATATAAAATTATCCTAGCATGACACAGAATACCTACCATATCTAATCTGAAAGGGCAACTGGAAAAATTTCCTTATCAGGGGTGAAAATGATAGCCACGTCACGATTGTTTGGTATTGTTCTGAAAGTTCTAGCAGGTGTAATGGCAGTAAAGAAATAAAAAGAATAATTATTATAAAGCCGAAGACATATTAGTTGTGGGTGGAATTCATTATGTACTAAATACAAGAGAATATTAAAAATTATACAATAAAGAGAAGCTCCGCAAACTAGCTGAATGCGTGATAAAAATGCAGAAACCAATATCACAAGATTTTAGCATCATCTCAAATGTACTACGTGAAATGGAAACATGCTTATTCATAATGTTAATGGAAATATAAAATACCTAGAAATAATCTTTTCAGGACATAGGCAGAAGCTTTGGAGAACAGTGTGGGCTAATATAGAATGAGATGGAATGAAACAGAAAAGACCAGAATAAGACCACAAAAATCATATGCTAATTTCACAATGTATCATTAAAAGTAATACCACAAATAAGTTGGAAATTGTTAGAAACTGGTTACCATTTTAGAGAAAAATAATTTCACCCCATGTAAAAATAAGTACCAGGTAGGATGTAAATGAAACAAATAAGATACAAATAAGTGAACCAAACCAAACGACCTCCCTGTTGATTCCCTCTGATTATTTCTCTTCCCTTGCCTCAAATGCCCATCCTCCTACGTCCATGCTCTTCACCTGGCTTATGCCTACAGATTACTCATTACATGAGTCAGATATCAACTCTCCAAGAAGCCATCCCTGAACCCTCAGTACATGCTCCCACGACTGGATTGGATCCCCCTTCTGTATAAGGTTTCTGTCTCATTAGATTTATTCATTAGATCATCATCAGTAACTCTGCAAGGGCAGGGACCACGACCCGGTGTGTTTCCATTAGAAATCTAAATGACTGCTTCGTGCTTCCTGAAGCTGCTGCTCTATAGTCTATGCTTCACTGCAGCCCTCTCCTCATTCTTCTCTGGCAGTTCCTCATCCTCAATGCTGACGTTTGGAAAAGTACCTAATAAAGTGTCAGAGCTTAGACTCCAAATGCTCTCCAACACCTGTTCAGTGCGGCATTCACGGACATGGTCAGGTTCAGGAAAACGTGCCCCGAGAAGCTGTCTCTCCGACCTTCTTAGCATCTTTCAAAATCTCTCGGGCACATAGGTTTTCTTTGCATTTCCTCTTTATTGATTTAACTTCTGATTAATGCTTTTCCTTTAAAAATAATCACACTAGCTTATTTCATCTTCCTTCACACAGCAATTCAGACTTTCGGCGTTCTTTCTTAGTGACCTTTTTCTTTAATAGCTCATGGATGACGCTACAAACATTTCCTTCATGTTATATTTTTCATAGTAGACTCTCCCTTCTCTAGCACCCAAATTGACAGGTGTCCCAGAGATATCCCCTGACTTGTGTGCTCTGGCCAATTCCCTAACCCTTTTCTCCTTCCCAACACTCGTGAATTCACCACCATTTTGTTATGTTTAAATAACAAAAATTGTAACCACAATGCCTGAGCTCTCACATCCCGCTCATCCCCAGACCCCCCAAAGTCTTTGCAGGCCCCAGGAAGACCCTCTTCCTGCACGAGCCTTCCGTTCTCTTCCCTGTTTTGTAACAGTTCCACTGCTACTACCTGAAAACATCTGAACAGCCTGACTGTGGTCTTTTCTCACCCAAATCCATCTCATAATAGCTCAGTCTCCCAAAAGCGCAGCTTCCGTCTTGATAGTTTGTATTTTTCAACTCCTTAAGCGTTCCAAAATCTTTAAAGACAAATCACCAGTACTTATGTGCCAATATTCCCTGGTGTGCAATTGCTCTGCCTTTTAGTAGCACCAGAGGCATCATTACTCGCTGAAAAAAATGAGCTGAACTTTTCTGATTCTTCCCTTTCTTTTTTGTTATTTGCTCCTTCTAGCTGGCACAAGAGTGACCCTTCAGTTATGTGGAAATCCTGTGTTTCCTTTCCACTCAACTTGCATCATTTTTAACATAGCCATCCCTTATCCTTCCAACCAGCTGTGATCCTGCCTTCTCCTCCTCCTTCTTCTTTTTTTTTTAAGAGACAGAGTCTCACTCCGTTGCCCTCGGTAGAGTGCAGAGCTCACAGCAATCTCCAACTCCTGGGCTTAGGTGATTCTCTTGCCTCAGTCTCCCAAGTAGCTGGGACTATAGGCACCCACCACATGCCTGGCTATTTTTGTTGTTGTTGCAGTTTGGCTGGGGCCGGGTTTGAGCTCGCCACCCTCAGCATATGGGGCCAGTGCCCTACCCACTGAACCACAGGTGCCGCCCATCCTGCCCTCTTTTTAACATACATAAGACTTTCTGTTGCTTTCGGAGAATCTATGAATTATTCTAACATGAACTCTTGCCGTGTCATTACAGACTTGTATTGTATACACTATTTCCCTCTTCATCATACCTGTTAGAGGCAGAGATTCTTTTGTAATCATTTTTCTATCCTTTAAATATCTTGTACGGGGATTTGCTCATAGCAGATGTCCAAGAAAAAATGTTAAATTGAAAATAAATGCCTATAGCAGTGATTTTCAACAAGGTGTGCCATGAAAACTTTTAAAGATCATTAATTAAATTATTTTTGAAAGAAGTTCAAAGCACCGTAATATATTCTTTTGTTTTTACTCTTTTTTTGGTCAACATGATTTAAGTGTGCTGTGGAGGCTTAATTATAGGTTGAAGTGTGCTGTGAGATAAAAAGGTTGAAAGACACTGACCTATAAGTTTTTATTAATGTCGTATATTTTAATTAAATAGACATGTTGAGGCCTAGATAGTTCTATTCTAATGATTTTTATGGTTCTACATTTTTGTCCGGCCTGACAAAAAAAAAGAAAAATTCTTGATTTATACTAATTGCAAAAATAAAAACATGCAGAAAAATAACTTAAACATTATTTTAAAACAAAGCAATTTAAATTATTTCAAATATAGGAAAACAAGATTAATAATGTAGGGCATGACAGTAAAAAGTTGGAAGTGAGGTGAGAAAAGACAACAACATAAATTCTGGACGTGCTTAACTAGCTATCTAAGAAGAAGAGCAAGACTTGCAGAATGACAGTCCCATCTCGGCCTTTTGAAAACACAAATCAAAGTCATCATTACACCACTCGAGAAAAGAACACTGAAGAAAGGAATATGGTTCCAGAAAAGGATACATTTCTAATTAAGAAACAAACAATGTCTCAGTGAAAAGGGGTATCCATTTCAGAACTTTCACACTTGGCCCACTGTTCTGGTTTTATCACTGGTTTTAAAGCCAGGATATACATCTGAATCAGGTATGAAACTTAACATACCCACCTCAGAACAACTAAATGACTGTCTTCTACTAGGAAAGAAGGGGGAATGTACACATGTATTTTTAAATATCTATTGAAGTGATTCTCATCCACACCATGGTCACAGATGCAGAGTTTGTGAGTCTCAAAAATATATGGGACTCTTTGGGGGGAAAAAAAAATACAAATTAGAAAGCAGGCCCATGCAAGCGAGGATTCCTGAACTCAACCTCTAGCCTCAAAATAAATCTGCTTCTGCCTCTTTGTACACAGAGATTATAGTTCTCTCTTCTCGACTACTATGATATTATGGTATTAGAATATTTTCATTACCAGTCATAAAATAATCATGAGATAATCTTCATTACTAATAAGAAAGATAATGGTAAACATCAGATTTATTGGACACACACTGTCACTGCTTGCCATATATACTGCTAATCCCTTCATACGTATATACGCAATTTAACTTTCACAACAACCCTCTGAGGTTTAACTAATAATCCCCACCCTTTGAACATAGAAACTGATGTTTACTGAAGTAATGTCTTCGAGCAAGTATTTAGGATTAAAGGATATAGACAATCTTCCTCAAACCTCAGTTTTTCTCAGTTAGATAACCATGGGTTTTGGAACATGTCGTTTTGCAAATAGGTGCTGTTTTACAGTCAGACTAAGAAAGAATGCATAGATGCATCAAAACAAATGCATCGATTAAACGATTAAAGCCACTAAATAAAAGGGTTCTTTTAACACATTGTATTAACTTTCACATCATCAAATTTCCTCTTGGCCCAGAATCCATGAGCTTGCAGTTCAAACAGTATTTCACAAGATGGCTCCCTTGCTATTTTTAGTTTCTACTTACATAATAAAATCCTACATTACAGTTGTAAATTTGAAGTCACATGTTACTTCTTGAATGAGCTCCTAACAAACATTCTGTGCTAACAAGATACATTCATAGATCTTACAACTGCCACTGAGAGTTGAGGGAAGTTCTCTTGCAAAGGAATTTTGTCAAAGAACAATAATAATCTACCTGCATATTATTTCTGGATTTCCCTAGCTGTTTCCTTAATACTTAGGGACTGCATGGTGCTCTCAAAGCCTCTCTCTCTTTTTTTTTTTTTTTAAGACAGAGTCTCATGTCATCCTGGGTAGAGTGCCGTGGCGTCACAGCTCACAGCAACCTCAAACTCTTGGGCTTAAGCAATTCTCTACTCTCAGCCTCCCAAGTAGCTGGGACTATAGGCCCTCACCAGCTATTTTTGTTGTTATTGTTGCAGTTGTCATTGTTGTTTAGCTGGCCCGGGCTGGGTTCAAACCTGCCAGCCTCGGTGTATGTGGCCGGCACCCTACCCACTGAGCTACGGGCCTCCCTCAAAGCCCTTCCCAGTGCCCACATGCATTTCATAGTGCTGGCATTTAACAGTTCTGCACTTGATACTAAGCGTTTAAAATATGCATTTTTGATAAAACAGGACCACTAAATGCTGGCCAACTACTTTAACTAAAATTCAAACTGGTCAGCAGAGATCTATTGGAGGCATAATAAATTATATCTTTACAAGAGGCTATAAATTCAGGTGTTGTTTGGATGCCAGAAGATCTGACTCTCCTCTTATCCCAAGATGGGTAGAAAAATAATCCTATAGCAGTAAAGAAATGGAGAAAAATTTCTTAGTGAACAAAATTGAGCAACTTAAGTTTTCTCATGTATTGAGAGGGATTTTAAACCCAAAATCTGGACTTCTATCAGAATACATTTTCTGGAAATCACACTTTAAATATTATTATTAGTAATACTTTTTCTATAAAAACTTCAATATAATTTAATGTTATATTTCTGACAAGACTGGGCATCAAACAATAAGCCATAAAATCAGTCAGTAAAATAAAACTATATTAGCTGTATGACATAAAATGACAAAGCTATACAACTTCTATAATCAAATACCCTTAAAAAGTAAGATATGAGACATAATAAATGTAAAACTTAATTTCTTTTTCATTTGAAAAAGGTGGATCTTGGTGGATGTAAAAAATCTGAATTGCTAAGAAAGTGATGCTATCTTTGATTTATAATAATTTTCCTCAATTGCAAAGAGACTCACTCAAATTAATTTTCAAGAATACTGAAGGCAAGGTAGCCCAGCAGTTAAAACTTAAGCATCTAGGGCCTATATACCTTGTTTTGAATCCTATCTCTGTTACTCTGTTTACTGAGAAAATTATTAAATTTCTCCATACCTCGTTCCCCCCCCATGTGTAAAAACAGTAATAAGGATTATGTAATATGATCCACACGCAGGACTTAGCACAGGGCATGGCACATGGTGGGCAGTCAGTACCTATCAGCCAGCTACAGTCACTGCCCGTCTCAGGTTCTACTACTGAAGCTCAGAATAAGTGTCCGATGTTGAAAACTAAAAATGTACTGATGGCGATGCTAATTAGGATGATACCTTTCCCCCTGAAATATATTTAATGTAGGAGGGGGTAAGGCAAGAGTCTCTTTTCACATTCTTTGCTTTGCAGATTATGAAATAGTCCAAAACAGCTATTTGGTGTCCCACCCTAATCTGTGAAATAGAGTGCTCTCAATTACTGCATCTCACCTTTCATTCCCCCAGCCCACGAGGCATTAGCAGCTATCAGAATATTTCACCCTACATTAGCAAGTAATAAACATAATAATTGTATGACAAACAAATCTGTCATTTCTGAAGAGTTACTTTGACATCTCTCCTAGGATTGCTAGATAATATCTTTAAGATGATCTAAGCTGTTTCTATATTCAAATATAAAGCACTATGGACTGAGGG